TTCTTCAAGGGTTCTGGAAGCATCCATATTTCTGTGAACCACTATTTCTTGAGTCAAGACTTGCACTGTGGATGCTTAGAATGACATATTTCTTCTAATAGAATTTGTACAATTCTACCTCATTTGATTTTACACCAAAGTCATGACATGTTTCACAGATGTACGTAAAACATATATCCTTATAAGTGGTATAATACTTGATAAAGGAAACATAAAACTACATATGCCCCAAGTGATACTGCAAGCAGGAAATTACCTTGCTGACATGTTTCAGTTTTTTATTTTAAAGGAAATAAAACAAATCCATAGAAAACTGCTGTTTGATTGAGCTGAGGTGAACTTGTGCTGTGTCATGGGACTTCCATGTTTTTGCTTTGTTACAGGGTATGGTGGATTCCCATTCAGAAATTCATTTCTCTCCCCTACAGGATACATGGTATTTTACGTGTACCAATCAGATCTAAACATTCTGATATGGAGGTAGGATAAATGTCTAACTTTGCCTTGATTGTGGTTTAATCAAACAGGTAGTTACATCATTCCCCATGGAGAATTTCTAGCATGCATTTCCTGACACCCCACTTCTTAATGCAGTGTAAGTGATAGTTAAAAGTAGTATCTTCAATATGGAAATCAAGATGATTCAAAATATTCACCCTACAATAGCTTGGTGTGTTGATGGAATATTTTTCCTGTTGTAAAACAAAGATGATAGCCAATGAAACATGTATCTATTCTACTAATTAGAAAACTGGCAGCATTGTCATGGTGATGCGCTCACTGCAGACTACAAACTAAATAGGATACCGACACAAAAGAAAATTCAGTTATTATTATTATAACCTTAGAAGCCATTCTTATCATAACCTATTTCCACCAATTCTGAAATTGAAAAAAAGAAGTCATGTTACACTGACAATTGACAAGTACTAAGAAGGTTCATAAGCTGTTGGCTTAACAAGAGGAATATGTAGGATTTTGTAGTTAATCTGACTAACAATAAAATGCTGAGCATGAATATATTTGTTTATACATGAAACAAGCATATTTGGAATTTTAGTTGGAGTTGTCTCCCTTGCTACATTCAACTGTTTCGCCACATACTGCTGGTTACCAAGCAAACAAGAAATACCAAATTAACAAACATTTTTTCACAAAAATACATCGTTAAAGTTTAGGCCCTCAAATAGAAACAAATCTCCTCATTTTAAACTAAATCACACTTTACCCATTACAAAATACACACTTCATGTCATGTCCCTGAAAAGATATTCCTCATTTAGAGCTTACAATGCAAGTCAGTTACAAGCAAAGTGTAATTTACGGTACACAGAAAATATCAAGTTTACTAAACAACAAACCATAACATCTTACATCACTACCTGCCAATTTACAGCATCTGGGAACAGGAAGACCACACGGTTGCTGGGACAACAGCTACAGCGGTGAGCTATGTATCTGATCTAGGTGCAATAGTACTACTGACATCACAATACAGCAGATACCTGCATGGAATGTTTTGAGCAAAAATAGACACTTGTATTACAGGTATGAAAAAAATATAGGGATATTTACAATCTTTTTTTCCTCAAATATTCAATCTAAAACAAATTTGTGATACCATCTCTACGCTTTAGACTACTTTTTCCCATTACAGAAAATATTTTTGCTCTTTTGAATGAGATTCAAGTGTCTCAGTCAAAAAGCAAATAGAACAGCTCTGTTAAAAATACCAAACACTACATATAGTTATGAAATCCAGAACAATATAAACAGTATTAGTAATTACCCTACAACAAATTAACTCAATCAATCAACATAAGTTACGCAATGCAACTGAATATATATATGACATTTTTATCACAAGTTGATAATAAATCTATAAGGTATTTTAATGAGCAAAATGTAAACATATATGATCAATCAAGAAGAAAAGAATATTCAACTTGAATAAATACTAACTATAACACAAGATCAAATATTTAAAAATCAAGGTTAGTAAGATAATGAAACCAATATTACAAATTTAATCACTATATAATTTACACCACACATAATTCCACATCCGTTATCATGATGAGTATATGGATGAGGGAGGCAATCTTTGTTAAACACTGTTGGCAGAAGGAAACGATGAACACAAGACAGTATTCAGGGAAGTCACAAAGAAATACATATGTACTTCAGAAATGTTTTCCACAATAGAGATTTCATCTCTCCAGGCCCTCTTCTAAAATTAAATAAATGTGACTATGAATCACATATGATGAATATGATGGATCTAGTGTTTTGTTTAACACCCACTCACCAGTATTTCAGGTATATGACAGTGTTCTGTAAATAACCCATCCTGGACCATCCTGGACCATACAATTTAGAGACGGACATCAAGAACATGTACATGTAAAATGACATCCATCCCTCAAGTCAGACAGTCTGACCATAAGATCCTGTTTCTTGTACACTCCAACTTCCATGACAAATGAACTTCTTGTTCCAGCTATCAGGGAAAGTTATTACCAGGCAGTCTACCATGTGCCAAAGCTGCTGACTAGTTTGGGACTCCTGGATACAAATTCCAAAAACTAATAATGAGTATAAGAAAAATGATCCCATTAACATACAAGGGATCTAGTTTGGTACATGTTTGGAAGTACTTCGGTACACAAGAGGTCAATGTTCTGGAAAATAAACAGATTGGAAACCCTGCTCTGGAATAGCCAAGGTCACAGGAAAACGTGGGTAAACACAATTATTGTGGAAAAAGGATTGGTGATGATGTCAATTAAGTTGTAAAGTGATTACGAGAGGAAGGCCTGGGGGTGACATATGTCATCGTTTTTCTCCATCCATCAGTAATGAAGAGTGACACATTGTCATATTACTGTATGACCCAGTAATACCATGATACTGCTTCCCTACAACTACTTCAAGCTGACCATCACACTGCATCACTACCACACATACTCAACAAGCAAACAACTAGCATGTACAGTGGCCACTCACTAATCTGGACCTTGTTAGTACGAAAATCTCTGTGTATGGAAGAATGATTTAATGCAATACGTATTTAAAAGGACATTACTCAAGACCATGATTGGGTAATCCGGATATTTGATTATCTGGATGATTTTGCTGGTAACATTGTCCAGAGTAACTGGTTTTCACTGAATACAGATGTAAGCTTCATTTCATCATCAATTTCTTGAATTATAGAACAAAACAACTTCAATATCAAACAAATCATATTAAATAGAAATGTACATAATATTGATTTCTTTATGACTTCTGACATGTACATCTATATCTTGATAATATATGTACCAGATAATTCTAGTACTAGCATCTATATATAGTCATAACATGTTTTTTGCTGAAGCTTTTCACTACATTTCAGTTCTCACAGTAACCTAAAGAGGCACAAGCAGAGCTAACTTCAGGAAGATAGTTAAGGCTACACAATCATATTTGGTTTTCCATATTGTTTCATGACATCAAAGCATGTTTGATTCAAATACAGGACCTCTGTGAAACTAATAACTATGGTCTCGGCTTACGTATCTATATGAATTGAAACAGATATTGAAGCAGAGGTCCCTTCTGCTGAGTACTGATGGATTTTCAATTAATCTATTCTTTGTCAACAGCAAAGACTGCTCTACTGCATGATATCTTTGTAGAGGGTATGAAATTTACAATTTGGAATCAAATAGATCTGAGACAGAAAACAATCTTTGCAATCTGATTTTGCACCCTTACGACATAACAGACACCTGTTTTCATAATCCAATACAGACATCAGTCGCACAAAGTTGTATCGCTTCTGAGCACCAGACACAGTAGGGCATATCCAAATGTTCAATATGCACGTCATGAAAACTTTTGTTGACAACATATGGAACTGAGAGTGCCTCTTTAAATCCCAAATTCACACATTTCAAACACGATGAACAATAGTGATGGTAGAATGCATAATGTTCAATGCCCGAGACAGCCAAGATGATACAGCTCATCCACTTCCTGTATTGGTGAGCTTGTCCACCAACCATTAAGACTGAGTCTCCTCATCGTCATGCACATCCACAGCAGCTTCACAGCATCAGTCCACAGATGAAACTGCTGAAACAAATGTCAGAATGATTTCCTCCACATGAAGCAGTGCCCCATTATACCATCAGTGCTACAACAGTTGTAAGTCTATGTTGAAGTATGGCAGTTACACTCACCTGAGCACTATGTTCATTATTTCATGTAAATGTTATTTGTGTGGTAATTAACTGACGCACATCATTCTCACAATTTTTCTCATAATTACCATATCAATACAAAAATACCTTACTCACAACTGACTACAATATCTATCCGTTTCACTTGTAAACATAGAATAATTACTGAATACTACGACTGAGACTGACAGTCATCTCACTTCCATCACTACAGATAAAATGGCTGATACACAGTAATGAACAATGGGTCTTGACAGCATAATTCATGAAAACCTGAGTATTTCATATTTAAAACCTTTCAAATTGGCTATTTCAGAAAGTTCTGAGACAATATATTTTCCAAAACTGGAAATTGATCAAATACTGTGTGTAATTCTCACATCGAAATGAAGACATATGATACATTCTATGCATCTAAAGTCAGTTAGTGTATGATTCAAGTCACGGAAAGTCTGATTTTGAGATTGCTTATGGCCTAAACCCAAATACATAGTTCAGTCACTTCAATCATGACAAATCCAAAATTCTTGAAAATGAATTCTTAAGACCAACATGCTGAATGAGGCAGAGACAAAAAGTATGCAAAATGTGAAACTGATGTATGCACATACGAAACAAACAAAATTCAAACTATACATTTCCACATTTTTCTTCAGAATTGTAGTCATTTAACACCTTGAATGTGACATACGTATTTTGCCAAAATTTTACAAGCAGATTAATTGTCCTGGGCATATAGAGAATTCACAGTTTATAGATGTATAGAAGAATTACCCAAATCTATCTCAGTCTCTTCCCATTCATTTCAAACACTGTCATATCTTCGTCATCATCGTCATCATCCCCCTGTCCAAGTGGCGCCATCTCTAGGTCAGATGCTGGTGTTGTGATGATTCCATACTTTCTGGCCTTTCTTCTTCTACTGCGCAGTCTGCAAGGACAATGACATATTGGACATAACTATCATTCACCAGAGGCAATATCAGGCAACAACACTCTGCATATGGGTTGGGTTTAATGCCACTTTGAACAGAGTTCATGTTATATCACAGTATGTTAGCATAACTCAAAGTGATGCTACTCTTAGACATTTTCCACTTTTGGTAAAACTCAAATGAATGGTGCTGAAACCAGGTTTAGAACCCACATAAGCTTCTGGCCGTGGGAAGCAGCAGCAACTATGCACAGCGAACTGCGGCACCCTAGCCATCTGTGGCCCTAAAACCTATTAAGATGCATGACACATATCTTCCACAATTCCCCCTAAAACCCATATGTATGGTGCTGACAAACCTAGAAACCGAGATTCGAACTCACATAAGCTTCTGACCTGGCTATGGGAAGCAACAGCAACTCTGCACAGCTAATTGTGGCACCTTAGCCTACTGTGCCATCTGTGGCCCAATAACCTATCAAGATGTTAAAATGGTAACCTAATTTGCATGACACACATCATATTCCTCATAACAGCATGGACCGTGTGTACAAAGTCATTTGCTTGTACACAAGGTACACATACACATTTTATAAGACAATCCTGATTATACCATATTATTGAACTATAACAATAGAACCAGACCCAATAATCTAACATTTCCCTGCAATCTTAATGAGCCAATAATGAGTGCTCCCTCCCTGGCAGTGAATCTCCTAATTCCAGGCCGAACAACTCCACCAAGCATTGTCTAGTGGATAATGGATTTACAGACAGAATATGTCGAGTGCGTCCCGAGAGTTATCCTCAAATCCTGACCAGACTCAACCTGACGACTTTCATGTTAACTCATTTGTGGCCATTTGTGAAGCTCACACCTAAGGGGTCAATGGTGCTATGGTTTAAATCAAATTCTCCACCAAGGGAAATTTGCTGAGAGGTTGTCATGAAACAGAACAAGACAGCTGATTTTGCAGCACCATCATGATCATGTGAAGGTCAACAACCCTTCCCAATAAGACATATCCTGTTCATAGTTAATGTAAAGGCCTGATCTTATTTATATCCTGCTCTGTGTAATTAGTAACTTTATCTGTTTGTTTGTTCTTTCCCATCACCTCCAGCAATATTTCTGATATGATGGTGGCATGCAAATAGTCAGATGTGGACCACACAATCCACAGATCAATATCAAGAGGATCTACCCATTGAGGTTCACCATCAACCAAGTCATCATCCTATCCATTTGTCCCTTATGCCCAGCAGAGTTCAATGAGAAGAAGTCTATGCTAGGTATAGACAATATTAAAGGTACAAGGTCACACCACATTTCTCTAAAAATACATGATTACATTCTCTCAATAATACTAACAATCAGCCCTCAGCGAAGCTACCATATAATTTATTTTAAAAAAAACTTATGTATTTAGATTGCAATATTAAATTAAAAAGTTTGATTAATTAATGCAACATTGCATTAAGTTGACTCTCTTGCCCTCTACCGGCTAAACATTATTTCATGTGAACCCAATAGAGTTATGTCCCATGGAACACTCTTTACGAATATCCTATAATGCAACTTGTGATTGACAACACCGCGTGCGACAGTTTTCGATGTACGGAGCAATCGTTTACATTCCATATATGGCAATTGTTATCTGTTTGGAAGCTGGTCGCCTCAAAGTTTCAATTATCAATTTCAGGCAAGTCTTAAGGGATAATAAGTCTTTTATTGCATCAATAGGAAGCTAAAGTGAGTGCATGTGCCCCCAATACATAAAATATAGGCCAAAAATATCGTCGCAAATGTGTGATATTGTGCCTTTAACGTATCAATTGAGTTTAATAAAACATCATTATAACACTTAAAAGCAAGCACAGGCTTGCAGAACTTCACCACCCTGCAGTCACATTGATTTGGTAGCACTAGGAATTCAAGCAATCATCATACAAACTCATCATCCAAAATCAGCAACAATGTTAATATATCTTCCTATCCCACAGCATTACTGCATATGTTTGAGGATGTTCACAAGCATATTTGTATTTTATATATGAATAGTAAAAATACTGATATTTTGTTGAGGTGTAATTAAAGATATTTTTCATATTATGTATATTTTCAACGCCTTCTCATGGCTAATACCAATAAAAGGCCTTTTCCATAAACTCAAAATCAAAGGCCTTTTCAAGCCCTGTTCACACCCTGGGACAAAATGTAACAGATGTTTTCAATTTAATTGAAAGAGACCTGTTTATCTCATTGAATAAAAAGCTATTATCACCAACTGCAATCATCTTGTCTGTACAGCCAGATAAACAACATGGCCGATCACTCTGATCTACATTACAAAGACTACTGAGACAGTCATCTACATAAATCATTACACTACTTTTAATACTTGTCAATCACATCAGCTGATGCTGTTAGATGAACAGAGGCAGGTATATAGTTAGAGTATGAAACCAATGGCAGAATTTTTATTTTTGCTAAACTGGGATGTTTTAGGCTACCCATAATGCCCGTTACTCTTTAATGGTCCTGTTATCTGTGTAGCACAAGATGCCTCCACAAAGCCACAGTATCAGTTAGTACAGTATTAACACAAATGGTAAAAAGGTTTAATATCACTTTGGGAACTCTTACTGACATTAGCTGCAGACATGGGTCTGAATGTCAGCCTTTGCTCTTGTCTAGATAAATATCTGATAGATTCAAATTTCGGCATTCAAATTATTCCGCAAACAGGAAATGTAGCACGTTTGTGTGCAGTAAGGTAATTCAGCAAAACAGGATGTCTGGTAAGCTGGCATTTACACAATGTAATTGTCAGCATAGCTTCAGATAAATGTTGTATGGTCTCCCTGAACAGCCTGGACACTTATACATGAACTTTTACACATGAAGCTTCCATGTCATGCATATGACGGGCAGGACCCTCACATATTAAGCTTCCATGACAACATAAAGAGATGCACAAGGAGAATCGAAACTAAACAATGTAATCCATAGATTTTATACATCTGTACATCTCCACCTTGACTTACTGTTAAAACACAAGAGATGCTATCATCAGAACACACAGAGTTAACATTGTAGACACTAGCAAACAGTGAGTGCAACAGCCCAACCTGACATAACGTCTGAAACAAAAGTGCTCCCAGTTTGTATATGGTCACATATATTTTAATGTAATTGTTGATAGTTTCTATCTAACATACTTTGTTAAAAGTTTAGTTTGTGCATAATAATCGTAATTCCAAATGGAATGGCTCAATTCTTTTAGAATGTATGCATATATTTTATATATCAAATGCAAATGGGAGACTTTAGTACAATATCTGTCTGTCTGTTGGTCTCTATGAATAAGGAAGGGAAACACAGTCACTACACTAATACCCTATTCGTCACAGTTTTAAACTGTAGTCATTAGTTGGGTAGGCCTAACAGGCGTAAAGAAGCAATGCAATATGACCATGTATGATATTATTTTCATTCCCTTCTACACATTTAACGAATCATATTTCCCAACTATATTTCTCAAATAGATATTATCCCCAAAGTGCCTGAAGACAGGATCAAGACAAAACATACAACTCAAAAATGTTACAGAACAGCCATTCCTTTCATACAGCAATATTTATCTATCGTGACATGAAATATGAAACATGTTCTTGTGAGTTGTATCCAAATAATAACTACTTCTAAAAGCAGAAATCAGTAATTATATATAATACTGCTACATGCTTATCGGTATTACCTTAGTTTTGTATCAATATTTTTGGGAAAAAAATATTATTATTCGCCTGAGCTGTAGTCATAGCTGTCGTGAGTGGGAGGCAATAAATCAGTCCAAATGCCAATGTAACTACATTTTGTGATATCGGGAGATAACGTGACATTTCATGATATATTCATAGATTTGGTTGAATATTCTGTTTTATCTATAGCCCATATGTTACATGGCTTGTTCTCTTATTACTGACAATATAATAAGTCAAATTCTATTAATATCTTTCAACTGTATAATTTCCTAATTAGTTAATTACACTCGAAAACAGTCTTTCACAGCCCCTGAACCATAAAAGTTTCCCTTTGGCTCAGCCTCATTATGTTATAGTCCTGTATGAAATTTAGGTTTTCAACATGTTCTGCAGGGCTCCAGATATTTTTTCAACATCAGGAGTACGTACTGCTTATTTTTTCAATACAGAAGTACTGGAAAAACTTTAGAGTACATTTAGAGTACTGAATGGATTTTAATGGAGTATCAGTAATCTTGTGTTTTGTTTCATATATGTACCACAACATTGCTAGTCTTGTGTGAAGAGGTCAATAAACAATAAAACAATACTTTTTCAGCTAAATATGACTGTAAATGTTTCTAAGACTGTACACCATTGCTGTGGTGCGTATCTGCTACATTTTCTAAATTATTTCCTACCGTATTGTGCATATTTTTAACCGGGACATACGCAGATACGGCCCTTATCTTGAGCCCTGGGTTCTGGATCTCCGATCTTACTAAAGCCCCTTGTCACTCTGGTGGTGGGGTAGCCTAGTGGTTAAAGCATTCGCTTGTCATACAGAAGACCCAGGTTCGATTCCCCGCACGGGAACAATGTGTGAAGCCCATTTCTGGTGCCCCCAGCTGTGATATTGCTGGCATATTGCTAAAAGCTGCGTAAAAATAAACTCACTCACTCACTCCTTGTCACTCTAAGTGGAACTGCTTGTTTGTATCAAAATGACATATTGCAGGAGACAAAGTGTTAGTCCATAGGCGGATCCAGAGAGGGGGTGCAGGGGTGCAGAGGTGCAGGGGTGTGCACCCCCCCTTTTGTGCTGAAAGTTTGTTAAATGACCATTGAAACTGGGGTGAAAATGAAGTGTGCACCCCCCCTTTCTCAAAAAGCTATATCCGCCCCTGTAGTCTACAGTTTACTGCTGAAGATGTAAGTGGGGCCATGTGACTATCACTGTAGTGCCATGCTAG